AGTTGCTTGGCTGTGTAACCCATTCTGGGAGGCAAGCTTGAGGGAGTTCCTAAGGCAAACCTTTGTGTTGGCTTCTCAAAGCAGTAAAAGGCCAGGAACCAGCAGAGGGTTGTTAGGGCAGCCTCTTAGATGAGTCTTCCCAACTATAAAACAGTAAGTGTGAAGGGAACGAAAGAGGAACAGTTTATGCAGTTTTTGTCTCCGGAACATAGGAAAGAAGCCAGATTGCTTATCTTTAAAAAGAAGATGATCACCACCCTTGAGAACTCCATACTGAAGTATTTGTGAATGAAGTGGTAGAATGTGTGGGATTTTCTCCAGTTCTACCAGACGGGGAAAGTGGGTGGAGGCATATGAGACAAAAGTGGGCACAAGTTGTTGGGAGCTGAATAATTATTAAATAGAGTTATATTGCCCAGCTGGTGTGTGGCTCAGTGATTGAGTATCGACTTATGAACCAAGGGGTCACCAGTTCAATCCTTGGTCAGGGCATATGCTCAGTCCCCGGTGGTGGAAGTGCACGAGGCAGCCAATTGATGTTTCTATCTCTCTATATCTCTCTTTGAAATTAATAAAAACATAATTTTTTAAAAAGAGTTTACTTTGCCCTGACCGGTTTGGCATGGTGGATAGAGCCTGCGGACTGAAGGGTCCCAGGTTCGAGAAGTGGGTGGAGGTATATGAGACGAAAGTGGGCACAAGTTGTTGGGAGCTGACTAATTATTAAATAGAGTTATTTTGCCCAGCTGGTGTGTGGCTCAGTGATTGAGCATCGACTTATGAACCAAGGGGTCACCGGTTCAATTCTTGCTCCATCCCTGGTGGTGGGAGTGCAGGAGACAGCCAATTGATGTTTCTATCTCTCCATCTCTCTCTCTTTGAAATTATTAAAAACATAATTTTTTAAAAAGAGTTTATTTTTAAATTCTGTTCACTTTTGAATATGTTTAAATTTTTTCATAATAATGATAATTTAAAAAAAAGAGTAAGAGGGTTGTCCTAGGTTAGGACTGGTGAGACTGGTCCTTCCTTCCCAAGCCTGATTTTAGAGTTTACTTTTAAATTCTGTTCGCTTTTAAATATGTTTAAATTTTTTCATTAAAAAAAAAGAGTAAGAGGGTTGTCCTAGGTTAGGTCTGGTGAGACTGGTCCTTCCTTCCCAAGCCTGATTTTATACCAGAAGCCAGTGTCTTGTTTCAATTTTGAGGCTGTAGTGCCATCTAGTGTTTATTACAAACACTCAACAAAATGATGACATTGCAAGGGCCACTGGGTAGTCTAAGGCCCTTCTGTGAAGTCTCCTGGCCTTTCCAGTTCCCTCAGGGAAGGCCTGGGCTGAGGGAGCAGGGCTACCAACCCCAGGCAAGGGCCTGGGTAGTAGTCTAAGGCCCTTCTGTGAACTCTCCTGGCCTTTCCAGTTCCCTCAGGGAAGGCTTGGGCTGAGGGAGCAGGGCTACCAACCCCAGGCAAGGGCAGGTACAAGCCTGCCTAGAAGTGAAGGTGGAGGTGGCCTTGATGGTAGTGAGGGTGGTGGCAGATTGCTCCTCACTCCACGCCTCCCCCAGGCTTGGGGAAGCAAGCTGTGGAGCGGAGTCTCCTTTTCATGTGCGGCTGTGCAGGCAGGTGACGTTGCTCCTCACTCCACGCCTCCCCCCTCCCCCCCCACCAGGCTAGGGGAAGCAAGCTGTGGAGCGGAGTCTCCTTTTCATGTGCGGCTGTGCAGGCAGGTGACCTTGCTGCAGGGTTCCCAGTGTGACCCAGGTACAAAAATAGCCTCTCTTGTGACCAGTGTGTGCTCAGCTCCCTGGCCTGAGCAAACAGCCCCTCACACCTGCACACTGTTGACTCGGTGTAGACATACAGCTACTTGTTTGCAGGTGCGAATGACTGTTTGTGTACCCAGAGTTGAGGGGGGAGGGCCATCCTCTTCTTCAGCCCACTGTTTCCTTAGAGCAGGTATCGTGGGGTCACAGAAGTAGCAGAATGTGCAGCCTGACACCCCAGGGCTGGGTCCTGATGGAGAGAGAGCTCTTAAAAACCCTCCCCTCCAGCCCTAGCTGGTTTGGCTCAGTGGATAGAGTGTTGGCCTGTGGACTGGAGGGTCCCAGATTCGATTCCACTCAGGGGCACGTGCTGGGGTTGCAGGCTCGATCCCCAGTGGGGGGCGTGCAGGAGGCAGCTGATCGATGATTCTCTCTCATCATTGATGTTTCTATCTCTATCTCCCTCTCCCTTCCTCTCTGAAATCAATAAAAATATATTAAAAGAACCCCCCCCTTCAAATATCGCCCCCCTTACTAGAGAAGAATCCACTCTTGCCTCTGGTAGTAGGACAAGGACAATCTGGACACCAGAGTAGCTATATTTAGGGACAGAGAACATTCGGAAAAGATATAAACATCTTTCAAAATAAGAAGCCATGGTCGTGGAGTCAGAGAGACTTCTGCAAGTTCCAAGCCAGGCTTTATATAGATCATAGGGGATAACAAAAGTGGCCCAGCCGATTTCACCAGGGCAACTGAAATGGACATGAGTTGAATTTACCAATTGTAAAACTCTATAGGCGTGGAAGATAAAGGTAATGGGGCTGGGGGAGGGCAGGGGAGTGACAAGTGATGGCAACTTTCCCATAGACGTGTGATCAACTCTGTCACCATTGCTATCACATGTACCTTTATTTTATGTATCAATAAGCAAGAAAATATGTCAAATTGTGATTCAGAATATCATACAGGCATATTGAAATGAGGAAATGAATTACAGCCTTTTTTGGGGGGTAGGGCAGGGCAGTTTAAAATTTCAAGAACTTTCAGAAAATGTAGTCCCTTTTGGTTCATTAATTCTACTTCTAGGGGAGTATCCTAAGAAATAACCAGAAATGCTAACATTTGTGTACAAAATGAGCCATGTTTACAAAATAAAAGTGAAAAACTGGGTAATGATTAAGTAAAGGTAATCAAAGGATGGTAATCAAAGGATGGCACATTTATGTGATGGGATCTTATACTGCACTCAAAATGAGCTTGTGAAGATTTTCTAATGTGGGAAAGGCTTTGGCATTAAGTGAAAAAACAGGCTCAAAATTATATAGCTTGACCTCAACCAGGCAAAAATGTATGTCAATATATATAAAGTATTCCAAAGGATATAATAGAACAAAATGCTAATGACACTGGTGATCTTCGAGTTATAGGATTATATGTAATTTATATTTCTTTACACATGTCAGTGTTTTCTTATTTTCCTGAAGTAAATATTTATACTTTTTATTCAAAGGAATCTTAATTTTGAAAGGAAAAAAAAGGGAGACAGAAGGTCAGAGTGGATCTGAGTGTTAGATAAAAACCTCAGGGTTACAGGCTCAGAAGGAGATATGAGGGACTAAAATCAGGCTGCTGGTGGTTGCTGCCAGACTTTCTTCCTGTCTCCTGACTGGGGAGAGCCCTGCTGTGTCTGGGATGTCCGAGAGTAAACATGTCCACTTCCCATGACAGTCCTTGGAGCAGATAGATCCCCAGGGGTTAAGGTCAAAGTGAGGCCCCAAAGCTATCCATCCTGCACTCCTTGCAAGGAAAGGGCATAATTTCTTTGGTCTCTAGATTTTCTGACCTGAGGTTAATATGAATAAACAAATAATTAATCCTCTGTGTTCTTTCCCACCCAGTAGATATGTTTGATGACTTCTCGGAAGGCAGAGAGTGTGTCAACTGTGGGGCCATGTCTACCCCACTCTGGAGGCGGGATGGGACAGGGCACTACCTATGCAACGCCTGTGGCCTTTACCACAAGATGAACGGCATCAACCGGCCCCTCATCAAGCCCCAGCGCCGGCTGGTAAGCAAGTACCCAGGCCACAGAAGTCCAACAGCCTGGGGTGGGGGTGGGGCACATTTCGCTCTTCTCAGCCCCTGGCTCCTACCTTGGTGGGACATTTCCTGGTTTTGAATTTTGGATTTCAAGTCATCTTTAGAAGAAGGTATGGTTTGAGGGGTTGGGTCGGTGGGTGGAGGCTACATAGTAATTTCTCACACCTTTAGAGTTAAGTTAGCTTGAGCTACAAAGTTTTCCAGACTGGACCTTGAGCAAAGAGCCAGATAATTTCTCTGGCAAAATGGGTTTATTCTGCAACAACGAAGATTTGTAATTCAGGGCATGTGGTCCACTGGTGAACCATGCCAAGTCCAGATGACAAAGGAGGGGAACATTCTTTCCTAGAGGAAGGAGGAGCTGTTGTAAACAAAGAGTCCATTGGAGGAAACTGGGAGTTAGAAGTATTGTGGCTTTTCATTGGCTGAGCTGTAAGTCTTGGGGCGGGAGGAGAAGACCCTCCTTCTACCTGCTGGAGTAGTAGAGTAGAAAAACTTCTTCCTGTTGGAGATGGAAAATATGTCTCTTGTTTGGAGTAATTATGATGAGTGTACCACATGAGACTCCCCTGACAGCCCCTCCCAACTTCAATTTAAATGAGGTTTCTATTTATTAGTCTTCATAAGAACATCTAATTCAAGCCCTTAATTATGCAGAAGTAAAAAGTGAGGCTCACAAAAGCGAGTGGCTTGCCTGGGGTCACATATGAATGAGTCCAGACTTCCTGGTTCCCAGTCCAGCGTTCTCTTGTACGTCTCCTGTGCTCCCATCAACTCCATGAGGAAGGTCAACTCTTCCTTTATTCCTTTGTTACTTACCCGTTTTTCATCTGATCAACCCAAATCCCAGGGAGGTTAAACAGTGTGTACTTGACCTGTGGCTGAGAAAAGGTTTGGAATTGAGCTTTTGGTTCTTTGTTCCATGGGCTTTTCTTACTATAATTTGATTTTGACCAATACATACTGGCTTTCATGTATATTAGGGAGGGAAGAACAGAGATCAACCCTGATGTTTCCCTTTCTTAAGGTCCCACAGCCCATCCAGTCTCTGATGACACTTGGATACAATAAATCCTCACCCACCACTTGAAAACCATATTAATTCTGCTTTTCTGCCTCCAGTGCCCAGTGCTCATTGGACTTTCCATCTAACAATGAATGACTAATAACGTCACTAAGCCACAGTCCGGACTAGCATTCACTCTTCTCCCAGGGCATAAATTTCCCCACCCCACCCGCCCCAGAGGCGGCCCGGGTGAAGGGAGGCCCTGGCGCTCCGGCTGGCCTGAGATGCTCACACAGGATTATGATCACCTGCTCCTGCCACCCACATAGGGGAGGCCCAGCCCTGCAGCACTCCCTCCCTGTGAGGCAGAAGCAGCAGCACCTGCCTTTTACTTGGACTTGAAGGGTTTGTCTCCTGTATTGCAGTCCGCTTCCCGCCGAGTGGGCCTCTCCTGTGCCAACTGCCAGACCACCACCACCACGCTGTGGCGCCGCAACGCGGAGGGCGAGCCCGTGTGCAACGCCTGCGGCCTGTACATGAAGCTCCACGGCGTAAGTAGTCCCACCCCCCTTGCAGGACCACCACCTAGACCAGCATCCTTGCTCTCTCATACCCATCACTCAGTCCTCACTCTTCTTTCTCCCTTCAGACTATAATTTATTTTTTCCTTCTTCTTTTTTTATAATTAAAAATTGTAAATTTTTTATTGATTCATAACGTATACAGTATAGGGTTATGTATGGAATAGCATATCGGGTAAATGGCCTCCACGGCTTTGCTATTTTTTCCTTCTTAACAGAGTATTTAGATATGGAAGGAACCATACAGACTACATTAGTCCATTCAGGCTGTTCCAACAGAATACCACAGACCGGGTGACTTCTAAATAGAAATTTATTTCTCTCAGTGTGGAGGCTGGGAGTTGGAGGTCAGGGTACCAGCATAGTGGAGTGAGGGTCCTCTTCTAGGTCACAGACTTTTCCTCACATGCAGGGCATGAGGGAGCTCTCTGGAGTCTCTTTTATGGACTATTCATCCCATTCATGAGGGTTTCACCTGCATGACCTAATCAACTCCCAAAGGCCCCCACCTCCTGAAACCATCGCCTTCGGGGATGGGTTTCTAACATGAATTTTGGGGAGACACAGAATTTCATACCATAGCAGAAACATTGCCACTCACTTCATCTTTAACATTATATAAGTCTAATTCCCATTTACAGATGAGGAGACTCAGAGTAGTCCCTATATATGGTTAGTGTGAAAAAACGAAGGTAGCAATTCAATGGATAAAGGATAGCTTAAGAATAATCGTATTGATAAAATCTGGAAAACACAAGCAAAGCTTGACCTCCACCTGCTACCAAAACCAAAAATAAGCTTGGGTGAATTAAAGATATGAAATGTAAAATATCTTTAAATAGAGACAATAAAAATACGAGAAGAAAATGTAGGAGATAATATTTGTGTAACCTTGTGGGTGAGAGGAGAACTTGTTAGACAAGTTTTCAGAACTCTTAAGCCATAAGATAAAAGTCAGGTATATTTGATTCTAGAACATTTAATATTAGTGTACAGAAAAAAGATACCTCAGGAAAGTAAAAACCAATACACATATCAGCAAAAGGGTTCATATTTCCAGAATACAGGGAGTTTTACAAAGCTCTTCATGTTCTGATTTGCAACAATCTCCATTAAAAAGTCAGTGTAGAATATTGTACACAGTATGGCACCATTTTTATGAAGAAAGAGAAAGAACGTAATTTATATGTCGCTGTTTATTTACACAGAGAACACCTGGAAGAATACATAAGAAACTGGTAGCATGTAGCATGGGTTGCTCTAGGAGAAGTAACAGGAGAGCTGGAGGGACCTGTTTTTTCACTGTGTACCCCCTTTGTAACTTTTAGTTGGTGCATCTCTTAGTTGTTCAAATATAAGTTAAACTAAAACAACACAAGCAAAACAAACAAAAAAAGATATCTTACAGAATAATAAGAAAATAACAATCCATCTTCCCCCATTTCCCCAAATGGGCAAAAGAAATAAACATATAATTCACAGAAGCCGCTCAGATTAGCCACTGAACACATGCAGAGAGGCTGGGCCTCACTAAAAATCAGGGAAATGTCAATTAACACAACCTTGAGGTTCCCTGTGTTGCCCGTGTGTTTGGCAAAAATTAAAATGCGTGATAATATAGCTGTGGTGTGGATTTGGGAAAACAAATACTCTCGTACTGTATATTGCTGATTTGTATGTAAATTATTACAAATATTCTTTCAGGAAATTAACCTGGCAGTACTTACTAAGGTTAAAAACACACATACCTTTTGATGTAGCAGCTCTACTTTTGAGAAACTAGCCTATAAAACAATAAAAGAATCAATACATAATGTTTGAAGTATTTATTGCTGCAGTGTTTGTATTGGCAAAAAATAGAAACAATCTTCAAGCCTCATAAAGAAACGGTTGAGTAAATTATGGCACATCCTATAACGTATACTGTTGCACAGAAATTAAAAAAGGAATGTGTCTTGACCTGGAGTAATGAAAAAACATATTGCAAAGAAATATATACATAGTATGACCCTATACTATGGAGGTGAGGGTACATTAGACATACACACAGATGGAAGGATGGGTGAGTACATACATACATACATGTATAGATATGCATAAGTGCATACAAGTTTGAGAAACTAGCCTATAAAACAATAAAAGAATCAATACATAATGTTTGAAGTATTTATTGTTGCAGTGTTTGTATTGGAACACAGTAAGGAACAGTCTATTTCTCCAATTGCCTCATGGGGACAGGATTGATGGTAGTGGGCTGGGAGGGGAGTTATGAACTTAATCTCATGCATGTTTTCATCTTAATGAGCAAAAAGTGGCTAAAATATCGCTAAGAACATTCATAAGATAATACACTTGTGTATTCTTCAATGAATGTATATAAGGATGTTTGTTGAATCACTGTAATAGTAAAAATGGAGAAAACACTCCAGGAGGAAAATGGTTAAAGAAACAGTTGTTCTCCAATGGGGAGTGGGGGAGGGTTATAGAGGAATATTATGCAGTATTAAAAAATTAAAAGTAGAATTACCATATGACCCAGCAGTCCCATCTCTGAGACTTTTCAATTCCAAAAAGAATTGAAAACTGGGTCTTGAACAGATATTTGTACACTCATGTTCATGGTAGCATTATTCACAATAGCCCAAAGGTGGAAGCAACCCATATGTCCATTGATGGGCGGATGGATAAACAAAATGTGGTATATACATACAATAGAATATTATTCAGCCTTTAAAAAAAAATTCTGACACATGCTACAACATGGATGAACCTTGAAGTCATTATGCTGAGTGAAATAAGTCAGTCACAGAAGGTCAAACACTATACAATTCTACTTACACGAGGTACCAAGAGTGGTCAAATTCAGAGGCAGAAAGTAGAATGGTGGTTGCCAGGGGCAGGGGAAGAGGGGAATTGGGGAGTTATTTAATGGGGACAGAGTTTCAGTTTTGCAAGATGAAAAGAGTTCTGGAGATGATGGTGGTGATGGCTGCACAACATTGTGACTGTGCTTATTAACACCACTGAATTGTATACTTAAAAATGGTTAAGATGGTGTCCAACCAGCGTGGCTCAGTGGTTGAGCATCAACCTATGAACTAGGAGTTCACGGTTCAATTCCCGGTTAGGGCACATGCCCAGGTTGTGAGCTGGATCCCCAGTGTGGGGCCTGCAGGAGGCAGCCAATCAATGATTCTCTCTCATCATTGATGTTTTGATCTCTCTCTCCCTCTCCCTTCCTCTCTGAAATCAATACAAAAATATGTTGTTTAAAAAGTTAAGATGGTAAATTTTATGTTATTTGTATTTGTTGTTTTTTTAATCCTCATTTGAGGATATTTTTTCCATTGATTTCTAGAGAGAGTAGAAGGGAGAGAGAGAGAGAGAGAGAGAAAGAGAGAGAAAGAGAGAGAGAGAAACATCGTTGTGAAAGAAACACATTGACTGGTTGCCTTCTGCATGGGCCCCAACCAGGGGGCCAGGGTCAAACCCACGACTGAGGCACATGCCCTTGACCAGGAATGGAACTTGTGACCCTTCAGTTTTCGGACTGATGCTCTCTCACCACTGAGAAAACTGGTCAGGGCTATTATGTGTATTTTACCACAATTTTAAAAAGTAAGTACTGAGGTGGGTGGGGATAAAGAAGAGCTGTGACCCTTCAGTTTTCAAACTGATGCTCTCTAACCACTGAGAAAACTGGTCAGGGCTGTTGTGTGTATTTTACCACAATTTTAAAAAAGTAAGTACTGAGGTGGGTGGGGATAAAGAAGAGGGCAAGATTCCTCTGAAGTTGGGATGGGCTTTACCAGGGCCTGAGTACACTTTCCCCCAAAGTTGGGAGTGCTATCTCATCTGACCCTCAGTTGACTAGAAGGCAAGTTCAAGTTCATGGACGCTGGTGCACTTCTCTTAACCGTTCGGTGTTGACATCTCTGAAGTGGCGATTGCTTTTCTTTCAGTGTTTGCAGGTGTGGCCTTTATTAATCCCATATGGGAGACAAGCGTAGACCAGGGACTATGCTGTTGTGGGCCGGGCCTAAAAGAAACCAGATGTGGGGAAGGCACAGCATTGAAAAACATTAGAAAGATGCAGGCTTGCTCCCCGGGCACTGGTTTGGGCCTCTGTGAGTGACAGCTGACAGTCACTGCACGTTTATGAGGAGTCAGATGCGATAAACGTATTGTCCGCGGACGGTTTATCTCAGCACCTGGCCACAGGTCCGTCTCTCCAGCATAATCTCTTGCTGCTCCCATGGAAACACCGCCGTTGGCTGTGGTCAGATTCAATGCAGTGAAAAGCTGCTGTAGGCAGTGTGTCTTTACATCCTCACTCCCAGGGACTGTCCCAGTTTATGCCCGTTTTCTTGGCATCGTCACTGAGAAGAGCACCGCCTTTCACTCTCACGGTGTCCTGATGTGGCTGATGAATGAAAGGCGTTGGCACACACTGTGCCTGCTGCCCGAAATACCTGCCCCCGTCTGCTCCACAGCCTCCTACAACTCAGACGTCCCTTCTTCCGGGAAGCCTTCCTTGATGTGCTCATGCGCCATTCCCTCTCCACCCCAACCCAGAACAGAGTTCTCCCCCAACACCGATGAGTCTGGTTATTTTCTAGTTGTCTGTCCTTCCCACTAAACGTGAACCTCTGGAGGGAAGGATCTGTGCCCTCCAGTGTCTGTTTCTTCAGGGTCTAGTATAATACCCAGGATGTCATAAAGGTGCTCAATACATTTTTAAAAAGAACAGAATTGATTTCTTTCTTGGCAGAAGTTCCAGGGGCTGATTTCCTTAGTCTCAGCGCCACGGTTTACAGAGGAATTGCTTAGATGTTGTCTTCCCATAGTGTGTGTATTGAAATATTGTAGCTGATCATGCACAAATGGAAAACCATATCTATCGACTTGTCATCTCAGGTTCCCAGGCCTCTTGCGATGCGGAAAGAGGGGATTCAAACCAGAAAACGGAAGCCCAAGAACCTTAATAAAGCTAAGACACCAGCAGGTGAGGGAAAGAGCTGCATGTAATTACATGAATAAGTCTGACGTCCGTGGAGTGTGTGGGAACGTGTTCTTGGTAAGGAGAGCCGGCCCAGGGAGTCAAGGTGTAACGTTGGCATCATCCATCCCTAGCTTTTCAGGACACAGTGAGGAACCCCGTAGAAGAGGGACATCACCACGGGACATATTGGAGCTTTGGAAGCAGGCTCGGGTCAAGTTGTGGCCTGATCATTGCCAGTCGCAAAGGCCGCAGTGGGCCAGCTGGACTGGTCGAGGGCCTGAAGGAAAAGGGAACCGTCCCCGGTCCCCCCATCTTTGGGATCTAGTCATGGTCATAACAGACTGGTTTGTAAGCCAGTGTATAATTAACATCACGTAGTACTTTGTACTTTAGAAAGTTTCTTCGCAAATATTCTCTTGTTGAGCTTTAAAGACCCCCCATGAGACCCCACTTATTATGTCCATTTTACAAACAAGAAGCTGAGGCTCAGAGAGGGCAGTGGTTTAACCAGAATCACACAGCTGTGGTTGGATAGTTAGAACCATGTTTTTACACGTCAGGGTCCAAATGCTGTTTAAGGTACCACCCTGCCTTCTCAATTTCCTAGATGAAGGCTGAGGACTACTTCTGTTCCCTCCCAGAGCCCTTCCTCCTCAGTGCTGCTACCAAAGGAAAGATCTCACTGGGAAACGCCCTTTGGGGGTCGAATGACCCTTTCAGAGGGCTGTCATTCTTTAAGGTGTTTGAACAAAACGTCAGGACTGGGTCCCCCCTGCCGATAGGTCAGCGGTTCTCAACCTGTGGGTCGCAACCCCTTTGGGGGTCGCCTAAGACCATTGGAAAACACATATATAATTACATATTGTTTTTGTGATTAATCACTATGCTTTAATTATGTTCAATTTGTAACAATGAAATTGGGGGTCGCGGCATTAGGAAGGTTGAGAACCACTGCATTAGACCTTTCAGTGTCTCTCCCCTGTGGTCCACACTGTTCATAAGTAACCCCACCCCACCCCAGAGAGCAGGTTTTTGGTTCATATGGACAATCCCCTATCTGAAATTCAAAGTCCAGGGGGGCTAGATTTGGCAGCAAAACCCAATCTGAACAGACACAGGCTATGTATCGTCTTTTATTTGCCACACTTGTGAATATTCCCATGTTTTGCTCTAGAACTATTCATGCATTTCAATGTGGGTATTGTCCCAGACCTCACTGGAGTTGTCCTCTAATGTACAGTATATGCCCTTTCAAAAATTAAAAATAAAAGTTTTGAGTCCTGAAACACCTGTGGCCTCAAGGGGTTTGGGATAAGGGGTGATGCCCCTGTCATTTCAAAAAAAAGTTCTCTTGAAAATCTCATTTGGGGAACCGATGCCCTCCACCCATGAAGGACCCCTGCTTCTCGCCCCAGCAAATATAAAGAAGCCATTAGCATGGACCTACCCCGGCTGTCTCAAAGGACAGCCACCCCTTGGTCCTTGCCTCTGCTCTGCTCAGGTGTCCTGACTCTGCCTTGTTCCAGGTCCCTCGGGCAGCGAGAGCCTCCCTCCCACCAGCAGCGTTTCCAGCAACTCCAGCACCGTGACCACCAGCAGCAGCGAAGAGATGCGCCCCATCAAGACAGAGCCTGGGCTGGGGTCCCACTACGGCCACAGCAGCTCCATGTCCCAGGTGCGCCCCTGAGCGGGGAACAGGACTGCCCCTGAGGAAGTAGGTTCCAGAGTACCAGCTGGCCAGGCCGGCACTGGGGTCTGGAGCACGTGACTGAGGGACTTGTCTGCTGCCCGTTGCCCTCGGGGCCCCACTCGAGGCTGGGGGCTGCCGGCACATCCGATCAAGCCACAGTGATCTGGACACACCTGTGAGAGACAAATGTTGGGCAGCTCCTCTGTCTCCTAAGGGAGGGGTGGTTTGACCTTGGCCTTGAAGGATGTGTAGATGTTAGGAGCAGGAAGGGAGGGAGGGGGGCCCTCCAGGCATGGGCAGAGGCGTGGAACTGGAGAGGGCCCGGTGGGTGGGTGGGTTGGGGGTGGTGAGGAGGTCACAGGCAGGATGTCGTTTTCACGAGGGCCAGCTGCAGGGCCATCTTTCTCGTGTGCCCAGAGGATGGACCAGCAGTCCCCTCATTCTCTTCTTTTGCAAATGGTGGCATCCCTGCTCCTGAACCCCCTTCCCACTGTGGCTCCCCTCATTTGGGATCGGGATGTTCCTGGTCGCAGTCTCCCGTTAACTCTGACCTTTCCCTGCCCATACTTGCGGGAGGCCATGTCTAACCAGCTCTTTGCTGTCAGGTGAAGAGCAGCTGGCTCTGTAGAATCAGCAGAGCCAGGAGCCCCTTCCAGATGGGAAGACGGCTACTGCTTGAAAGTGGGGCGCTGATGGTGATGGGATTGTAGCGAAGGTCTCAGGTAACTATCAGAGCTTCAGAGAAACCAGAGTAGTCGCAACCTACTGGTCATGGTGCTCAGTGGCAGCTGATGAATCACATAGACCCTCTGCACCCACGTGGAGGAAAAAGTATTGCTGGGTCCCAGGTCTTGCCCTTGTCCGTTGGCCGCTCCTCTGGTCCCTCTCCTAGGCGTGGGAGCCAGCCTGGGGACATCACCTAACGGGGCTCCCTCTCCTGAGCCCTCAAGAGTGACCCCACTGACCTCATGTTGCTCTCTTTGCTTTGCAGACATTCTCGGTCAGCGCCATGTCTGGCCACGGGCCCTCCATCCACCCGGTCCTCTCGTCCCTGAAGCTCTCTCCACAAGGCTACGCAGCTTCTAGAGCTTCAGAGAAACCAGAGTAGTCGCAACCTACTGGTCATGGTGCTCAGTGGCAGCTGATGAATCACATAGACCCTCTGCACCCACAGCACAGGGTGGAGGAAATGGAAATGCTGGGTCCCGGGTCCTGCCCTTGTCCATTGGCCGCTCCTCTGGTCCCTCTCCTAGGCGTGGGAGCCAGCCTGGGGACATCACCTAACAGGGCTCCCTCTCCTGAGCCCTCAGGAGTGACCCCACTGACCTCATTTTGCCCTCTTTGCTTTGCAGACGTTCTCGGTCAGCGCCATGTCTGGCCACGGGCCCTCCATCCACCCGGTCCTCTCGTCCCTGAAGCTCTCTCCACAAGGCTACGCAGCTTCTGTCAGCCAGTCACCGCAGGCCAGCTCCAAGCAGGACCCTTGGAACAGCCTGGCCTTGGCCGACAGTCACGGGGACATAATCACTGCATAATGTCACCTCCCTCCCTCCTCAGATTCCTGCACAGACTTGGGACTTAGAGAACCGCGGAGGCGAGGACGGCTCCCAGCAGCCAGCCTGCTCTGTCTGGGAATGACTCCGGAACAACTGGGAAGAAACTTGAAGTCGATGATTTGGTGAGGGGAGTGGGTGTAGGATTTCATCAGATGCCTCTTCAAGATGAGGGGCTGGGACGGGCCCAGACTCTGATCTGGACGCACCCACCCTTCGCGAGGAGCACACTCAAGTCCCTTCCGTGGAGCTGGAGACTTCTTTCTCGTTTTCTGCCCCACTCCACCCTGACAAGAGATGAGCTGTCCTTCTCTACCCTTCCATCACTGTGGCCTAAGATGGTGGTTTTCCCCTGGTGTTCCCGGCACCAGGATCTGAGGGTGGGGAGAGGGGCAGGTGCTGCGACCCTGCTCCAGCCTGAGCCAGGGCATCCATGTGCCTTTCACTGTGACAGGCCCCTCCAGGCAGCTCCTGCCCGTGCCCAACACTCCCCTTCAGGCTCAGCACCCCCCCCCCACCCCGCTCCCCTCAGGACTGAATCCTGACTCCAGGAACGCTGAGCATCGCCCGTGTTACGGGGTGCTCCGTGGGGAGACGGAGGAGAGGCTGCCTCACCCACCATGCAGTATGGCTTCGCAAAATCTCAACTTGGCGATGGTGCCTCCCCCACGTTCCTTTCCCGGCTCACAGCGTCATCCCTTCGCTCCTTCTCTTCACCACAAGGCCCCTGAAAAGAAAAATCCCTTCCACTGCTCCGTGCGATTCAGCCTGCCTCTGGCTTGGCCGTGTCTCTCCCTCAGCAAAACTAGAGCTCAGCAGTTTAGCCGAACAGCAGCCACCAAAGTCTGCCCCCCAAAATCCTTCCTCCGCCCCATCATGCACAGGGAGTTCTGAGTGAGAACAAAAAAGGTTCTGCTGCTAAAGCGAGTTTGACCGACACTCACCTAAGACTTGAGATCCCTCTGGAGAGGCTGTCTGGACACCCCGGGGCTGGGCCGGCACTAGATGGGGAGCAGGGTGTTCCATGGATTCTGACTCGCACTCGGATCTTGCTGACGCCACTTCTGTTCTGCAGAGCTGGGCCTCTGGGCCAGGCAGCGAGTCCACCCAAGGGGTGCAGCGTGCCCTCCTGGCATCAGAAATCCCTTGTCCAAGAGGTGAAAAGCTAGCGATTTTGCAACATAAATTCAAAGCAAACGCAATAAAACTCATGAAAAGCAAGATGACGACTGCTACGAGAAGACACTGAATTGGGCCTTGAGGGCTCTCCGGTGCTGGACTGGAATTGGCCTTTTTCTTAGCTCCACGTTGCTGTTTCTGCCTGTGATGCCGGAGCTCACAGACTCCTCCCTCCGTGTCCTCCTTATCCACAGAGCTGCCGCAGACTGTGGCCTTACTGCGTCCTACCCCGAACACCCAGGCCTCCCCCGCCCCCGCCCAAATCCTACAGGCTGTAGCAGAGAATATCTCTAAACCAAGATTCTGCTCTAATCATCATTTACATTGCTTTCTTTCCTGAAGGCCACCCTCATATTCTTTCCCTAACCCGTTAACATTGTCTTAAGGTGAAATGGCTGTAAAATCAGTATTTAACTAATAAATTTATCTGTACTCCTCTGTCCCTTCTCCTCCTCCCTCAGTTATCTTTCCTGGGAGGTTTGATGATGCCCTTCGCAAGGCAATCTTGAGTCACCGCGGCCCCTTCGCCGATCCGCTCACAGGCGGCACCTAAGATCATTTCCTTCCTTCACTGTCTGCAGTTGGCCAGGTCCTCTGTTTGTGGCGGTGACGGCTGAAAGGAACACTCCCCCTGGCCCTGCCACTGACTAGCCTGCAACCTTGACAGGTCATCTCTAGGCTTTGGTTTCCTGAGAGGAGGGTTGGGTCAACTGTCAGTTAACTAAGGTTCCTGTGGTCCATCAGCTGATGCCCAGTGGCCGTTTTTAGAGCTCCCCTCGGGGATCACAGGGCCGGAACATGAGGCAAAGCTTAGGGGCAGTGATCGCTCCAGCCACCTGAGTTGAGGTGTGTGCCAAGGGTCACCCTGAGGTGCCCTTCCATCTTCCTCTTCTCTTTTATGGTGCCATTCAGACAAGCCCTTTGAGGGGCAAGCAATGCTCCACACCAATGGGAGAGGAGAGAAATGTCTCCTTTATCCATTTGTCTTCACCTTCTTAGGCTCCAGAATTGCTTACTTGCTTCATCTTAAAAGTGAGGACGGGGTGGGGGGTGTG